CACTGAATAAAAACTTGAACTATACTTGAGTATATGTAGATATATTTTTATATTTTATATATATTTTAAACACTATTTTTATTATGTTTTATTTTTTGCATAAAAACACTGATCATAAAAACTTGAACTATACTTGAGTATATGTAGTATATATTTTATATTTTATATATATTTTATATTTTTTATTATGTGACCCTATTTTTTTGTAAAACACTGATCATAAAAACTTGAACTATACTTGAGTATATGTAGTATATATTTTATATTTTATATATATTTTATATTTTTTATATATTTTTATATTTTCATAAAAAATTGAACTATACTTGACCCCTATTTTTTTATATTTTATATATATTTTATATTTTTTATTATGTGACCCTATTTTTGCATAAAACACTGATCATAAAAAAACTTGAACTATACTTTGAGTATATGTAGTATATATTTTATATTTTATATATATTTTATATTTTTTATTATGTGACCCCCTTTTTTGCATAAAACACTGATCATAAAAAACTTGAACTATTTAGTATATATTTTATATTTTATATATATTTATATTTTTTATTATGTGACCCTTTTTTTGCATAAAACACTGATCATAAAAAACTTGAACTATACTTGAGTATATGTAGTATATATTTTTATATTTTATATATATTTTATATTTTTTATTATGTGACCCTATTTTTTTGCATAAAACACTGATCATAAAAAACTTGAACTATACTTGAGTATATGTAGTATATATTTTATATTTTTATATTTTTATATTTTTTTTATGTGACCCTTTTTTCATAAAAACTTGAACTATACTTGATATATGTAGTATACTTTTTATATTTTATATATATTTTATATTTTTTTTTATATTTATATATATTTTATAAACATTTTTGCATCAAACACTGATCAAAAACTTTGAACTATACTTTTTGTAATATTTTACTTTATATATTTTTATTTTTTATTATATATAAAAAACACTGATCATAAAAACTTGAACTATACTTGAGTATATGTAGTATATATTTTTATATTTTATATATTTTATTTTTTATTATGTGACCCCTATTTTTTGCATAAAAAAACTGAACTGATCATAAAAATATTTTGAACTATATATTTTATATTTTTATATGTAGTATATATATTTTTTATTTTATATATATTTTATATTTTTATTATGTGGACCTATTTTTGCATAAAACACTGATCATAAAAACTTGAACTATACTTGAGTATATGTAGTATATATTTTATATTTTATATATATTTTTTTATATTTTTTTTTATAAATACCCCTATTTTATATATTTATATATATATTTTATTTTTTATTTTTTTATATTTTTTATTATGTGACCCCTATTTTTTGCATAAAACACTGATCATAAAAACTTGAACTATACTTGAGTATATGTAGTATATATTTTATATTTTTTATATATATTTTATATTTTTATTATGTGACCCTATTTTTTGCATAAAAACATCATAAAAAATTGAACTATATTTTTTATATGTAGTATATTTTTTATATTTTATATATATTTTATATTTTATTATGTGACCCTATTTTTTTGCATAAAACACTGATCATAAAAACTTGAACTATACTTGAGTATATGTAGTATATATTTTTATATTTATATATATTTTATATTTTTATTATGTGACCCCTATTTTTTGCATAAAAACACTGATCATAAAAAAACTTGAACTATACTTGAGTATATGTAGTATATATTTTTATATTTTATATATATTTTATATTTTTATTATTTATTTTTTGCATAAAACACTGATCATAAAAAACTTGAACTATACTTGAGTATATTAGTATATATTTTTATATTTTATATATATTTTATATTTTTATTATGTGACCCCTATTTTTGCATAAAACACTGATCATAAAAACTTGAACTATACTTGAGTATATGTAGTATATATTTTTATATTTATATATATATTTTTTATATTTTTATTTTTGCATAAAAACTGATCATAAAAACTTGAACTATACTTAATTATATATGTAGTATATATTTTATATTTTATATATATTTTATATTTTTTTATTATGTGACCCTATTTTTGCATAAAACACTGATCATAAAAACTTGAACTATACTTGAGTATATGTAGTATATATTTTTATATTTTATATATATTTTATATTTTTTATTATGTGACCCCTATTTTTTGCATAAAACACTGATCATAAAAACTTGAACTATACTTGAGTATATGTAGTATATATTTTTATATTTTATATATATTTTATATTTTTTATTATGTGACCCCTATTTTTTGCATAAAACACTGATCATAAAAACTTGAACTATACTTGAGTATATGTAGTATATTTTTTATATATATTTTATATTTTTTAAACACTGATCATAAAAACTTGAACTATACTTGAGTATATGTAGTATATATTTTATACCCCTATTTTTGCATAAATATATTTATATTTGAGTATATGTACCCCTATTTTTGATAAAACACTGATCATAAAAAACTTGAACTATACTTGAGTATATGTAGTATATATTTTTATATATTTTTATATATTTTTATATATTTTTATATATGGAATAACATAATTCAATAAGAGAGAAAATATACTTCTGTGTACAGAGTACATAATGAAGAAAAATATTTATAGGCTTGGCTTTTAGAAAGTGTGTGTGTGTGTGTGTGTGTGTGTGTGTGTGTATATATATATAGAGAGAGAGAGAGAAAGAGAGAGAGAGTGAGAGATAAGTGAACATTGAGGTCAACACCAACCAGTGACAGGCTATTTCATGCTGGTGAAAACATATATAGGAATTAAAAACCAAAATGAAATCACACCAAAAATATCATGGAAAATAAGGTAAACAACCCTAACCCTTGCAACAATAAATCCCAAAACTGTAAACACTCTCTGAAGGAGAAAATAGTTATAATTACCTTCCTAGACCAACACAAATTACTAAATAAACGATCAGAACTATTCTCAAAATGCAGACAGAACAAATCTTTACTAAAAAATAAAAATATGCAAGGAAAATAAAATAACCTAATTCAATAAGTAAACCAATTAATAAACTATGAATGTGCAAGTAAACATAATGATAACAAATAACATAGTTATTAACAATAATAAGGTAATAAACAATAAATAATGAGTAAAAAAATTAACACTATAAAATAGCCATAAAATTGCATTTGGACCCACAATTATTTCTTCTCAATAGCTCCTAGAATAATTTGAAATATAAGCATTACTGCCCACCCAATAATGATTAAAATAATACACTAGACCTACCCATAATGCACCATTGACCAGCACATACAAATAGTTGAGCCAAAACACAACACACATAGCCTGAAAATTGTGTTTAATCATGAGACTGACTGTTGCCGCTGGATGCTGACTTCAATGTCCACTTTTATATTTATTTATGCTCTATCCCCGATATTGAGCACTTTAACCCATGAATATAGCATATATATATATATATATATAAGGTGTGTGTGTGTTTGTGCCACGTGGTTGGGTTTGAAGTTTAGTAGTCAGCTGCCCGAGGAAAGACATTTCTCTGGAGGCAACAAGATGCATCTTGTACCTACTGCATTCAAGAACGTAAAGAGAAAGAATTGAGTCTTTCTTTATATAGTCTTGTATAGAATGCCATCTAGCAGGCATTCTGGCATACAAGGTAGGGGGCAATCCCCACACCTCCACCATATTTTGGCTGGTTTATTCCCCAACACTCCCCCTGCTTAATCTTTATTAAAGAGTAAAATAAATGTTATTCCTTTGCAGTCAGTTATTTAGAGCAAACTTGAAAATCTGATATCATAAAAATAAATATAAAATTTCTATGCTGAAATTGTAGAAATCCAGATTTATTTGTTTTTGGGGGATAGGGGAAGTGTGACTTTGGACATTGTAAAATTAATTGGTTGCACCACTTTTAAATAAGGAAATAATGATACAGTATTTCCTCAATTTTTTGTTATTTACCTCAATTAGTGAAAGGAGCATTTCCTAATTGATGAGAGAGCTCATTCTGTGCTTTTACTTTTCAAAATGACTATCATTACTAACTTTAAGCTTTGAAATTGAGGATGGCCTTAAAATATGAATGTTAAAACAAAACAAGAAAGGGTAGTGGTATCTATTCAGGAGAAATTAAATGTTTTTGACATGGTGCAGAATAAAATTCTAAAAGCCAAGATCTTGGTGAAATATAGAGAAATAATTCATGGTCAGTGGTATTTTCAAAAGTGAGCAATATTTGAAGAATTTTAGATGAATGAAGCTGACATTTTTCACAGCTAACTAGATTGCAGAATGCAATCAGTATGCAAAAACAATTTGGATACCCGTTATATAATAAAGTTTTGTTGTTGACAGAGACAGGCATCAAAACTGTCCCTCACTATCCCTACATTCCAGACCTTGCTCCCTGTGACTTATAGCTGATCCCCAAACTGAAGGAGAACCTCAGGGGCAGTTGTTTTGAAGGCATTGAGTAGATGGATGAGACCATAAGGGCCCTGGACACTTTCACTTTGAATGACTTCCATGGAGCCTTCATGACATAGCTGGAGCGTTACACATTGAAGTCAAAGTCTTCTACTTTGAAGATTAGAGTTTTGTATTTCTTTAAAATTATTAAATGTCTTTCTTGAAAAAGTTTTGAAACTTCTAGAACACACCTTGTAAATGCAAAATTTCTTTTAAAAAAAAAAAAAAAAAAATTTTTTTTCATTCTTTTTTTTCAGTAGGTATTCAATCATCTGGAATTATGAATTATCCAAACATTATTTTGGAGCTGTCCCAAGACAATCAAGGAAGTATTAGGTTTGTAAAAAGGAAATTATGAGACCAAGTAGATAAGAGAATTTGATAAATAGAAGACAAACCTCTCATCAAAAATCATGACTTGACCAAAGAGGAGAAATGAATAAAAAAAGAAAATGAAACTTACTGCTCCAGTTACCCAATTTGAATAGTCACTGACCAGATAGAGGGCCATATTTGCTAATTCATTAGGGTGGCCAAGTCGTCCAATGGGAATGCGCTCTTTTACATGTTCAGAAAAGGAGCCGGTAGGATCCAATCGACTGAAAGCACCCTAGGGATATTATGAAAATAAGAATAACAGATGTTCAGAAAAAGATAATTTTGAATGACATAACATTTAATTTTATATATTTAATTTAAATACAATTTTTTTTATATGCCTATAAAAGCATAACAAATAATAAATTAAAGTGCTCAATGCCTAAATGAGACAGAGTGATAAAGTATATATATATATATATATATATATATATATATGATAGTGGTACTCTAAAAAATTCTCTATGTTATTTTCTCTTTTAATAAGTATGGCATTCTTTACATTTAAGTTGTAGTTGAATTTATTTTTGTGTATGACTAATGCATTTGATAAATTGTTATGTATTAGATTATGATAATTTATCATAACTTACAAAATTCTTGAGAGTGCCACTATTGAATCTTGCCAAAATGTTAATGTTTGTCGTGTATTTTTTCATATTATACACACACACACACATTATATATATATATATATATATATATATATATATATATATATATATATATATAAAGGGTGTTCCAAAAACTTGGACCGATTTTAAATGTGAATTAAGTTTAAGCGTCTGATGATTTTTTTCTTTTTCTTTCAGATTTGGCGGACATTTGGGCAATATTATTTTTCACACATAATTACCATGACTTAAATAACATGACCCAATGGAGAAATAAATAAATTTTCACCAATAACACTGATTCATTTACTGCTGACTTTGATCCATCTTAATGAAACATCCTTTATATATATATATATATATATATATATATATATATATATATATATATATGTGTGTGTGTGTGTGTGTGTGCGTAGTGCCAGATTCACATATGTGCTAGTATGGTCTGCAACCCAGGGGCCACAAAGACTAGAGAGGCCCCCAAAGGTTCTCTAGCCTTAAAGAGTTCTCTGAGAAAACTAAAAAGAAAAATAAAGACAAGAACAGAGGAGAGTTGTTTATTTTTAGATTAAATTGAACTAATTTGAAACAATTTAGTGTATTTTGTGCCCCTGTAGTTGAAGTGGGTCTTTTTAAATTGGAAGGGGCACCATTTAGATTTTGATGCAATCCCTTTGTAAATGCTTGCTCAGACACACTCATGTTTGTTCAACACCCACAGAGCAAATCAATGGTTTATACTGCAACTATGCTGAACAGATGTTACCAACTGTTTCTGGGAGAGAGTGCATAATCTGTCATGATCAATAGTTTGAACAAGGTCACTATGCTCAAATCCTTAGTCATGATGACTTGTGGCTTTGTGCTAGCATAACTATCAACAGCTTCCATTACAGTCAACCCAATTTCACTCACAAGGCTTGGGTGAGCCAGTGATATGGTTTTCAGCACACTTCTCAAACCACCTTCCAAGACTGATGGCATCAAGAAGTCAACTCCCAAACAAATTGATAATGGTGAGATTTGAACCTAGTTCTCCTAGTAGAAATATGGTCATGTGGCCACTTGGTTAGAAAGTACACAGCAATATATATGTGGAATGAGCTGGCAAGACTGTGTTTACATAGGTTTGGGGGGGGGATTTCTGTCATTCTACATTTTCTGTAGTCTGGCAGTGGCCTGATCCCAAGGGTACCAGATTAAAGAGTTTTAACTGTATGTGAACACCATACAAGGTTAACTGATTTGATGTAGACTTGAGTGGCTTCATGAAGGTCTTATGCTAGTCTACAAAGATTATTTCCAAAATGCTTTTTCTTGCTTTTCACAAGCAGATCAGTCAGCTTCAGTAGTACCTAATAAAGAAAAGGCATCTGTGGAGAGACATGTTCATCTATGTCCTGAGAGAACAAGAAATAATTTTTAAAAAAAGATAAGTGCACACAAGCATATGCTCACATAGATATCTATAAGATGTTTTGTTTTGCATCTGGTGTTTCACTCTCAACTGGTGTAAGAGAGTTAAATAAAAAAAAACATACACATCTGCTTCATATGACTGCTGAATGCTCTTTAACTATAGTATGTAACATTTCCTGTAGATTTTCAACTGACAAAGTCTGGTGGTAATGTGAGATACTGTTGGGGCCCATTGGGATTGTGGTAATGATGTTTCAGCTCCAGGGTCATTGTCTGATCAGACTAATGTCCTCATCTTTGTTGTTATTAGACAGTGGAGATTTGGTATTATAAGTAGTTTTTTCTAGGTCAAGTTGTCTGAACATTTGTGTAGCACTTAGTGTATGTGTGTATATATATATATATAGTTTCTTCTAAAATTATGCTTCTCTGTAGATTATATTCTTTTTTTATTTTATGACAGTGAAACCTCAACTCATGAATTTAATTCATTCCTGAAGGCTGTTCATAACCTGAAATATTCGTGAACCTAAACTATTTTTCCAATAGGAATCAATGTAGAGAAAAAAAAGTCACAGTAGAATAAAATTGGAAAAGAAAAGCATGGCACAATGCACAAATGTATACAACATGGCGGTCGACTCAGAAATTATTCCGTTCAGGTTAACTCAGTTTGGCAATGTTGTTCGAGAACCAAAATTTTGTCCAATAATGGAGGCATTTTCATCTTGAATTTTCTGTTTGAAAACCAATTTTTTTGCCATGTGAGATGTTCAAGAACCGAGGTTATACTGAATTAGGGAATTGCCATGACTTCTAGGGGAAAGATAGTGATGTGGCTTTCCATTAACTTCTCCACAGTTTGGAATTCAGAGTCTTTTTTGTCTCTTAGACTGGTTGTCACTCAAGGCTAGAGAACTCAGCCTATATTCTGTTTAACCCATAGCTAATGTGAGAAGTGATGGATTTATGCTTTTTCCAAGGGCATTAGTGCAAACAGGCTAAACTATAGAATTTGAACCGGGTTTTGCAATTCCACTTTCTGCGCCAGTAACTGTTATACTACCTGCGCATTTTTGCAGTTATATAGATTTATATCTAAAAATCAAAGTTCATATAGTTTATCAGCTTATAAACTTGTAATGCAATCTTTTAGGGCAAAATTATCATTTGAAATGAATAATAGGTCTTACATTTGAAGAAGGGAACATTTTGAAGTGATATTGGAAATGTAATGTAAATTACTAAATAATGCCAGCAAACCACCAAATTGCACATGCATTAGAAATTTGATCAATTTATTTTTTTATCAAGTCAGCATTCCTCCTCCCATGTCTCAAATATTTGTCAAAATTAATCCACTAAGAAACAAAGAACTTCGCTTCTATCAAATAAATTTAAAAAATTAAGAAGCAAAAATGTTATTAATATTTAAACCCATGTGTGATTTTTATGGATGGGATGCCTCTAAAATGATGAATAATTTTTATAAAAAAATAAATAAAATGCTTGTAAATTTTACCTTAGTCATGATAGGTCCAGGAGCAATGCAGTTAAACCTCATTCCATAACGCCCCCATTCTGATGCAAGTGATCTAGAATTGTGAAATGAAAATAATTCTTTATAATTTTATGCAGATTAATCAAGAATCTCACGTAAAATCATACTGAATGTATGCTTTATAAAGTGGCATCTGTTGTGTACATTTTCTTGTGAAATTATAAAAAGTATGAGTCTTTTCTTAAGAAAAATTTTCCAAATATACATTAAGTTCTTTTTTAGTTAAGATATTTTAACATTTTTAATTAGGAACTGAATTAAAAAGACATTCAGTTACAATTTACAAAAATATCCTTCTATATTTCATCAACACAAAAGTGAAGAAACATTACACCTGGATTTTTGGTATGGTCATAAGCAAAAATTAAGGAAAAGGGTATTATCTTGTGAATGGCATTATTAAGATAAAAAAACTCAAGCAAATTTAATTCTATTTTTTATGATTAATGTTTTTGACATTTAATTTAAACACATTATGGAGATAAATTTTACTTAACATAAGAATCACCATACCTGCAATATGATAAGACTTTGTTCATGGATAAAAACAGATGATATACTGTGTTATCTACAAATTTGAAGTTAGTGTAGGTTACATTCAATTGGTTAATCAAGGCAAAACACACAAGCTAATTTTTTAAAAGTATTCTGCTTTTTAAATTAATCTTTCACTAGCCAGTAGTTTAACATTGCCTGAGGAGACACATTTGCAGTGTTGAAACATAATTGCCATTATTTAGCATGTTTTAATATCCAAAAATAAATAATATATATGTGCGTGTGTGTATATGTTTAAGAGAAAACATTTTAGCTATATATTTACAGAAACTTGAATGCTACAATAGTGAACTAGTAACAAATTAACAGATATGGAAAAGACAAATGAATTAAATTCTTACTTGATAATTAACCTGGCTATGCCATTATAGCTATGTCAAGAGCAGACAAATTAGTAAAAGATGCCTACTGAAGGTTAAGCAAAATCTTAAGAAACGGGAAATTGTTATTAGAAACAAAGAAAAGAGTACTTGGCTGTTATATAATATCAATTCTCTTATATGGCAGTGAATGCACAGATAAAGAGGAGACTTGCAGCAACAGAAATGTGCTTCTACAGAATGATACTGAGAATAACGGAGACTGAACATGAGTGATGACAAAGTTTTAAAGGCAATGGAAACAAAAAGAAAACATATACTTAGAACCAGAAAGAGATAATGGAAATTTCTAGGGCACATAATGAGGAAAGAGGGTTTGGAGAATTTGTCACTCACAGAACATACTGAATGCAAGAGAGACAGAGTAAGACAGTTAATAACCTACATAAGCTTATGTAAATGATTAGCAGAACAGGAATTAGGAGGGATAGCAAAAAGACAACTACAAAGGACAGGAAGTTGTGGAGAATCATGAATGCACATATCCTGAAGGAACATGGCACATAGAAAAAGAGGGCATGCTAAGTATAAATAAGGCAGGATCAAAAATAGGTAATAATCTCAGCTTCCTTAAATGACAAGACACAATTTTAATTTCTCATTCAAAATGTAAATTATAACCTTGAAGATAGACGCAATATTGTTTGTCTTGGCTTTGTAAACAAAGTATATGATTCTTATGTGTGTTTAAAAGTGTGTATATATATATGGATATATATGGGTGTGTGGTTGAGTGGTTAGAACATTCACTTTCTGACCATGAGACCTGGGTTTAAATCTCACTAGGGTCGATTTGCAGGAAGGAGACTTCTTGATGTTATCGGTCTGAACAGGGGGCAATCCCAGTGTGTGTCACCTTTGGAAAGTGCCTGGAAACTGTACTACGGGTTGACCCAAGCAAGTGAAATTGGGTAGACAGAACCATTGGGGGCTGTCAATAGCTGTGCTAGTATGAAGTCACAAGTCATCGTAACTGAGGGTTTGAGTGTGCTGGCCTTGTTCAGATTGTTGATAACACTAGATAACATGCTCTCTCCCAGAAACTGTAACTAAGGTCTGCTCATCATAGTTGCAGTATAAACCACAGGTTGGCTCTGTGGGTTTTGAACAAACACAAATGTGCTTGAGTGAGCATCTACAATAGGGATTGGCTAGCCACCCTAATAGACAGGTATCCATGCATAAGAGTGGCCAGTTATTATATCTAGATACAAGTAGCCTGTGGGATAAAAAAAGGTGGAGATCTGGAAGTAGACTTAATCTGGACTTGTATTTATTAGTTTAGCAGGATAATATTCATAAAAAAATGACAATATTTATATACATATCAGCACTTCTGTCTGGGCTAAGAGTATCTATGCATCAGCCTAGGATCAAAATGATGCTTTACAACCCTCTACCTTTTATTCCAGCCTACTCTTTTATTTCAGTCTACCCTTGTATTCTAGAATCAGCGACATATTTGTGCACTAGATCTAGGATCAAAGTGATGTTTTACAGTCCTCTACCTTTTATTCCAGCCTACCCCTTTATTCCATTCTACAATCAGTGACATATTTGTGCATTAGGTCTAGGATCAAAGTATTGCTCCCTAGGGTATTATCTTTGTTTTTGAGTATCCTTTATCAGAACTTCCAAAATTTGAAAACGTCCAAAATCCAAAAGTTTTTCTGATCCTGAGGTGACTTGCCACAAACAGAAAATTTTATAAAGCAACATGGCTACCCATAGCATGAGTTGCAGCATTACAAATAAAATGCTGACTTTTCCAGTTTTCATTATGTTTAAGTGTAATAATAATCCATGTTTTTTAATACAAATACTGTACCTTTATGTATTGTAACATTTTAATCAAAACAACATTGTTAGTAGAGACTGTCGTGTTTCTTACACTAAACCGGATATTGACTGCTCGACGACCCAAGGCAGAATGCAAATACACATCTCTGTGCATCATGGCTCGACACGTTTTCAGTATCAAATGATAAAATGCTCTTTATATATTAACCAGTAGAAATAACTCCTGCTAAAAGACAGACTGTGATTTGGAGCCGATACGACGGATATAAATTCCTTGTTTCAATACCGCAGAAGACAGAGAGGGAGAGAGACCCAGCTGAGATGTCGACACTCAGTTTGGTCAAGAACGCCGCAGGCAGACAGAGACTGTATGCGATACTTTTTCAACTTTCATCCTTCACCACCATAGTCTTCACAAAACATCAGTCAACAGCCATGACCAACATTCTTTCTCTTTCTTTCTTCCCTCTCCACTCTGTCACCTTTTACAACAGCAACGAGTAGTATGCTGGCTTTTGTATATATGTAAATAAATTATACATCAATTTACCCAAAATACGATGTATTCCTTTTCCTCAAATTTACGTTTGGTGAGATGAATAAAAGAAATTAACCTCTTCAGCAGAAACAACAACAGTGACAAGTTCTGCCTTCAAGGTTACCCATTCTTCGTTTCTGCAATGACCGATAACTTACTGAATTTTCCTTCTCACACTCAAAGTGATGTCATCGATGATATACCCTCTTCCTCCAGTTTCCCACACATGATGCAGAAGTAGTGTTTGGTGCTGCATTTATATATTTTTGTAAGTAGTGATCATGTTTTTGTACACATACAAAAAGTACAAAACATTATTTTGACATAAAATCTTAATTAAAAAAATCCATGTAAGAATTACGTGACAAGTGTCATTACCTGTATCTGTATGCACAAAAAATTTATTAAATTTGATATAAAACTATCTTCAGGATATACGTATAAGCTGTGTTATGAAATGTAAAGTGATATTCTATTTATGCTTGGGTTCCAATCCCAAGCTGACCCAATTATATAGATGCTATATACAAATTAAATAGGCTGTATTCCAAAATCTGAAAAAAATCTGAAAACTGAAACACTTCTGGTCCCTAAAATTTCGGAAAAAAGATTCTCAACCTGTATTTGCAAGTTTGCTTTTCAAGTAGCAGAACACTGATATAATGAATATGTTTCTTGCTTGCTTGTCTCTAGGTTAGATGTTCAAATCAAAGTAGGATTCACTTGTTAATTTTATAGATCTGTTTGCTTTAGTGTAACAGAAGCTATGCACACAGAAACAAAGAAACATATGGAAGAAAAAAAAATCATACGACTATATATACTAGAGTATTGTGCAAGTTTTTATGATCTGTTTTTTTAAGTAGAAAATAGGGATTCACACAATACACAGGCAATTTTTTTTAAGAGTTTAAAAATCATGTATTTTCAGTGACTGGTTGCATGATACACAGGTCAATTTTTTTGGAGGGGGTTAAAATTCATGTGAGAAAATTATATATTAAATAAATTAAGAAAAGTTCAAGTGACTTAGCTGGTTAGCCAACTTCAGAGTTTAAGTTGAAATGCTCGCCAACACCAGATGTTTGATAAATCAATTGAACTTATCAGATCCCATATTTATACTCTTTCTGAACAAACACTAATTGTAACTTTCAAATTTGAAACTCTTAACATGCTACAGTTTCATTAGAAATGTCTGAAGGTTTAAATTTAGAACATGTTAATTCATATGCATGTGTGTGTGTGTGTGTGTGTGTGTGTGTGTATATATATATCTCAAAAATAAAAAGAAAGAATAGTTAGATTTATAATCCAGAGTTCTTTAGCATTTATTTTTAAAATAAACAGTTCTCAATACACAGTAGAGCATAATATAATTATTTTTTTAAAATGTTTCCATCACGATACAGAAATTACTATGTTTCAAAACTTGCTCTACATAGACTTATTATACCTTTTTGGAATAAGGATGATCCCAGGATTAAAAATCTGTCTTTCATCTGAGGCTTAAACATTCAGCAGTGGGATTTGTATCTGGATGAGGAGGGAACAGTTAATAAGTTAAATTTTAAAATAACTCAAACTACATTAGTGATTTTAAATTTTTTTAATTTATATTGGGTTTAAAGTAATACTAAGACTTTGTGAATTTAAAAACTTTTGTTTTAAATTTAGTTTAAGATATCCTCCAAACTTTGTGAATGGAGGAATTCAATTTTATTTCTTCAAAATCCAAGGAATCAGAGTTAAAGTAAGAGGTTTCATGACATGAGGTTTTGAAGTTCTGCAGGATTTGTGATTTGAACAACTAAATTATCAGCCTGAAATTTTGGCCCAAATCTGTCTTTTGGCCAGAATTAGACTTATAGCTTGAATCAGAATTAAATTGAGGTTTTGAAGTTCCATAGAGTGAATTGAGGAATTCAAAGTTATTTCTTCAAAATGTCATGGAAAAATACAAAAAAAAAACTAGTGCTCTTATGCAATGGGAGGGAAGAGCATCTCAAACACCAGAGGAGGCATAAGCTAGGGGACAAGCAGATGTTGCAAATCATAGAAGACGAAGAGCATCTGATAAATCAGAAGAGGTACAAGCCAGAAGAGAAGCAAATACTGCATGACAGATAAGATCAAGAGCATTTCCAATATCAGAGGAGGTGCAACCAAGGAGAGAAGCAGATGCTGCAAGAAAGACAAAAATCAAGAGCTGAAGAGGATGACAGTCATATTTTATGAAGGAAAGAAACAGATGCTGCAAACCACAGAAGGGCAAGAATCTTTGGAAACACCTGATGAAAGGCATGCCAGACAAGTTAGTGATAATCACAATCATGCTAAAAGGAGTGCAGCTTCTTTTTTGAGCCTGTCCAAGCTGACATTTAAATACAACTGTGACAGTGACTATTCAAATCATCCAACAAAGATATCTACTGGATCAATGATCATTCAGTGTAAGCATTGTAATGCTCACAGATTAAAGGATGAACTAAATGGGATGTGCTGTAACAAAGGAAAAATACATCTGAAAGGATCTATCAATTCCTCCAGAACTATTGCTATCACTTCTGGATGTGAACTCAAAACACTTCATCCAGAATATCAGAAACTACAATAACTATTTTGCAATGACCTCATTTGGAGCCCAAGATTGCTACCTTACCAGAATGGGAAACAATTTACAGAATTCAGGGCAGGAGCTAGCTTAAAAGTCTACATGCTGAAATACCACAAGTGCAAGTAAAGACAATTATACAACACTTTTCACTTACAACGACAGGGTCTCAACTGCTGATTTAGCAGAGGCACTGGGCACCACAAATCCTGAACCACTTTCTGCATAAATAGTTGTGATGGCAAGAAAGGCTGCCCCTGGAAAAAATCATTAAGAGAATTTTGATGGTTAAAAATATAGGATGTAAAAAAAAAAAAAAAAAAAAGATTCAATAACAAAAGAAAAAGGTGTATCAAAAGCACTTACATTTTTTTAACCTCTCAAAATTTCCTTTTTTGAAATTCATGATGTTCTCTACATGGTGTAAATATTCAAGGGGCATTTTTTGTTGCCCCTAAAATACTTATATATTAAGACACCATTAAACATAATCAAGGAAGTACAAAAAAGAAATCTGAAAGGAAAAACAATGAAAACAAAGCAAAACTAAATTGACCATGTTTTAGTACCATTAAGTATTTTATAATGTGCAGTGTCAGTGTGTAGGGAGAAAGCTAGCTGCTGAAATTAGTTCCTACCTTAACACTAGTCCAAAGAGGTCTGTCATGTGTGAGCCTGAGAGTAACAGAGTTTTTGAATTTAGTGCTGGTTTAATACTCACATGTCATGTGATTACATATATAAGAGGAGCAAAAACTGACTTCTGCAACTAGTTTTGTTTGTTGATCAATGTATATATGTAACAGTTACTTTTTATCATCTTTTGATGATCCTAGATCTTTTGAAAGTTTTCAAGTACTGATTGTTAGGTTTTCCTCTATATGATGTTTTAAAGCATTATAATTGGAACTTCTGGGCTTCATTTCAAGGGAAAATTCATCACTCTTAAAAAGCATAAACTACTTTTGGACAAGGCAGTCAGATATTGTTCTATTTCTTTGCAAGTCCTGAATTCTGTAGATAGATTTTGGAGCCTCGAGGTCCAATTTAAAATATAGTTTCAAAATTGCCAGAATCTCAATATTTGTATCAGCCATTATGACATCATAAACAGAAGTTACACTTGAATAGTATTTGTTAGATGTGCTCATGAAAGGAGCTTTGGAGTAAAGGTCTGTAAAAAATGAAAATACTTTTGATACTCCCAAATATTTATAATTGTGAATGTTTGTAATTGTTATCGGTATGGAAAGTGGAATTGCTGAACTGAATTTTGCTCTATTCTATTGCTTTCAGTTTCATGAACATGCCTATAAGCAAGGCATGAAACCACTTCTTTTCCCCTACCATGGGTTAAATTGCAGAGTAGATTGAACTCTCTAGCCTTCAGTGGCAGCATGTCTTGGAGAAGGACAAGTCATGGTGAAGGCAATGGGAAAACGTTCCCCTATCTTACCCAAGAAGTCATGGTTTTTCACAAATAACAAAAATTTAAATGCAGCATCAATCGTTATCTTCTACCTTCTTAATTTTTGTTCTTTTATTGTTCTTTCTCCTTAATAGTGTATTTTCTCATATTCTCTAACACTCAGTAACCCTTTGCATCTTAGTGGCTTTATTGCCTTGCTTGAGGTGAAATGATTAAAAATAAAAAAGGCATTACAGACTTAAATGATAAAAAAAATATACACAACTGCTTCATATGATTGTTGAATACTTTTTAACTATAGTGGGTAACATTCCTTATATATTTTCAACTGAAAAAGTCTGGTGGTAACATGAAGTGCTGCTGGAGCCCACTGGGATTGTGGAAATGATGTTTCAGCTCCTTCTGATGAAGGCTTTTTTGGGAACACCATTGAAAATACATCTTGACAGTGTATGTGCATATATTATTATTTACATTAGGACTGATGTCATTATCTTTGTTCCTATTATAATGATATTTTGGCTGACGTGTTCTCCAGCCTTCTTCAGGTGTCTTCATGGAATTTTGAACTGATCCTTTTATTTAATATCAGGGGAGGGGATAGATTGTTCTTATTCTTCTGTCCATGTCTAGAGATATCTTGTCTTGTTCTTTTCTTACAGCTCGGTTATTGCTCAACCTGTTTTTACTACCTGGCCAGGGGATTGAACTAACAATTACTATGCCACCAGATTCATGAATTAATATTAACATCTGGACTATGGTCCTCATCTTTGTTGTTGTTATCCCATTTTGGCCAATGCGCCCTCTAGCCATCATCAGGTATAGTTGATCCAAGTAACCTACAGGAATTCAGAACTGAACCCTTTATTGAATCTTTAGTGTAACAAGAACAGTCTACCCCATGGGTAGACTGTTCTTGTTACACTGCTCATCTCTAGGGAAATCATGTCTAGTTCTTATTTTTAGTACTGGGACCAAGTACACACTGCCTGCCCCTGGGACTGAACTCACAATTATGATGTCACCAAATTAACAAACCAATGATTTAATCAACTTGGCTATTGTCCTGTGACCTGATGAAAGCCAAAGGGCACAACAGCCAAAATGTTGTGATAACAAGATGAGGACAATAGACTGTGTGTAGCAATAACTTCTTATCTTAGAAATTCATATCTTCTACAGCTTATCAATCATTTGCAGGTTATTTAAAGCTAGAAAATATTGTAAGAACTTTTTTTTTAGTGATACAAGTTTTACTAATTAACCCATAGTTGGAGGTAGAATTCATATCTTTCCCAAGAGTATTAGTGCATAAATGAATATAACAAAACGAATGGGAATTGTGGGAATTTGAACTTGGCTCTCTGATTAACAATTCCAGGCTATTATCCATTACACTATCCATACAGTCTTACAGCATTTGATATTCCTAAGTGGTACTGGCCAGGCCCAACATTGCTTAACTTTGGTGATTATATGGGAACTGGTATGTGATGTGGTCATAGACCCTAGAAATTCAGACAGAAATCATTAATCAATCCTTTAATAAATTAACCTAGTTGGTTCATGAATTTGGTGGCGTAGAAGCGAGTTTAATCCCTGGGTTGGGTAATATAGACTCGGTGGAAACAACACAAAAAATAATTGAGTAGTAATAAATAAGAATAAGAGGAGATATCCTTAGACAGGGGCAGTGTAACAAGAACAATCTATCCCTATAGATAAAGTAAAAGGTTCAGTTTGAAATTCCCTGAAGGCTGAAGAGTACAAAAGTTGAAACATGATGATAATAACAAAGATGAGGATATTAGTTTGAATGTAAATAGTGTATCCTTAAATATAATACACCACACACACAATAACACACACACACACATGTATGATGTATTATATTTAAGGATACACTAATTTAATATATATAAGTTTATTTGTGTGTACCAATTGAGGGGCAGTGTGCAAAATTTTGACATGAGACACACAGAAGTCAAGACTCCATTCACGTTCACATGCAAAAAGCTACCATACTGACTACAAATAGACCACCCCCTATGCACACACGTACCGACTCACCCACCCAAAATTCAAGTATTTGTATCAATATTTGTTTTTGAAAAGAAAAAAAAAAAAAGAAACATATAGCAACACTAGCGGGATTACCTAGCATGGCTTGGAAGAAATAACTTCATCTTAGGTTTCATTGCTATGTTGAAATCCAATAACATGTTGCTTCATTGTCTTGATCATCAATCTGATGCCATTGCAAAGACTCAGGGTTCTAGATTTCTCAAGAGTATAACTGGAAGTCAACCTTTTTGTGAATGAGATTGTAAAGTGTTATGTAAGATGGTTCGAGGGAATTATGTACAAATCATTTTTTTTTTTTTTTTAAAACAGAAAATAATTATAAGATGGACATTCTACTATTTATTAAAGTAAATATATTGTCTATGTATTTTATCAAATTAGCACCAGTAATTATTTTTCTTTAAATCAGAAAGTAATTACTTCATTTAAAATAATTTATTTGGTTTCATATTGCTTTTTAAAAAAGGTATTTTACACTTAAATTGTTTTTTGTCAGTAAAGTAAAAATGTAAAGGCAAAGATTGATTTCATGGAAAAATATTGTTAATTCAAAAATAAATCTATATATTTATATAAAGTTGTAAACTGTCTTTCATGTCCTGTCTATAATAGAAAAAATTATATATAATATAATATAAAAATATAAATATTTTTGAAAGCATAAATATTTTTTGAAAATTTAAATTTAATAAATTTTTTATTAATAATAAAAAATAATTCAACAAACAGAATTTTTTACTTTTTAATTCTGCTGAAAACTTCAAAAATGCTATAGGAAAATCTAACCCAATATTTTTCAACTCCCAGTGTTTCACCCAGACATTTTTTCTGTTAAATTTTAGGACATTTATTGGATCTCTGAATAATAGTTTATTATTGAAAATTTATTGATATTTTTTGGCCATCTTATAAAAAATAATTTCTTATTCAATTTTTAAAAAATAAACTTCATTGTTTTTTTAGTTTGTTACAAAATAACTAAATTTAGGAAAATACCATATTATTGAGCATCCCAAAATTTTTATTCAAAAAGACACTTTATTTTCCAAATTGAATCCTTATATATTACGCCACACACACACGTTTTTTTTTGTGTGTAACAATTGAGGGGTAGTGTGCAAAATATTGTACAGACATAGTAGAAGACATACCATGTGGCTTTTTAAGGCCAATTAGGAAGAAATAAATATAATTCTGGAGCTGATGTTCTTACAAAAAAGTGTATAAAACTCATAAAATCCGGCCCCAAACATGAGATGCACATAAGTCACCAAGGTCGACCACACTAACTGCTTATCTTCAAGACCCATTCACATCCACATGCAAACTAAAGAGACCACACCAAACTACAGCAACACAGTTCACAGTAAAAACTAAATTCTAACACTTGTATCCCCCTACTAAGCATGCACACACATATGACCCACCTGCCCAAATTCAAGTTCAATTTGTTTTTGAAAAGAAAAAAAAAGAAACATATAACAACATTTCACTGTTTCTCATATGCATACATCCAAATTTTGACATTTAACAAAAACCTGAGTAGAAGGATTCCTACAAATTTTTGAAAAAATAAATTTTTGCAATTTAGACAAAAATTAATCCATCTTTATATACTTTAAAATTACTACATGATTTTAATACATTTTTGTATTCCTTAACATTAACAAGAATTAATGTAATTTCCTTTAAGTAATTTTGATTATTCAAGTTCATTACATTATTAAATATTTGCATGAATCCATATTGATAAAAAATATAGACTGATTTAGAAGTTTTTTTTAAATATTGTAAGTTTTTGATAAAAAAGATTTATTAAGGAATTTATTTTAGAAAAAAAAAGGGGATAACATATAATGTATACATAATGTTTTGAAATAATTCTCTAACAAAGAAATTGGATATAATTATCTAACAAGATTTCTAAATCAGCTGTGTCAGGATTGCTCGCTCATGAATTGCAATTAAAAGTTGGTGCAATTCTTATGCTCATATGCAACCAAAACCTAAAGAAGGGACAAGACTTATTGTTAGAACCTTAGGAGTGCACAACATTAAAGCTCAAATTATATTAGACATCAGAAAAGGAGACTCAGTTTTTATACCTAAAAGCGATTTGGCTCTTTTATTCTGAAAAGGAAACAGTTTCCTGTAATACCATCGTTTGTCCTTAAAATTAATATGTCTCAAGGAAAGTCATTCAACACTGTAGGTATATTCCATCCCAAACAACTTTTCATTCACGGACAGTTTTATGTTGCTCTTATTGGGACGAAAAGTAAGCAAACTCTGAAATTACAGATTGATACTACAGACTTCCAAAATTTACACAAAAAATATTGTGCTTTGGGAACTTTTGCAGTAAATATAATTTTAGTTGTAAATATGTTACATTTATGAGGAAATCTCTTATAAATTGTACTACATATTTTGAATAAAGTATAAAAAATATGTTCGTATAAATCAAATGTTTGGTGTTTATTCCTTTATTAAATAACTGCGTATTAATAATAATAAAGTTTACATGACAATTTTAACATTGCATAAGTATTTTGTAATAGAATCTTCACCAAATTCCAATTCAGTATCATTTACTCAAATAAGTGATCACCAATGAGAATTCAGCATTAAAAGTGGTATCATAGGATAGAAATATTAGTGAACACTGTTAAATTATTAATGTTAGCAAACTATTTTAAATTACAAAATTGTACTTGGATTAAACAAAAATTAGTTACAATATAATAATACACACATATATATATATTACTTACCTTGACTTGCTGCAATAAGTCTTTTTCCAATGTCAAGAGTGACGTGGGCAGTACCATTTAAGACAATATCTATGATAGTTTTCCAAGCATTGGCAGAGAGTCTTTCAGATGGTGATATGAAGTTCCCAGCTGCATTGTTAATTATAACATTAGGTAGACCAAAAGTGGAAACACATTGGTCAACAGACATTTTGATATCTTCTGGATTGCGTACATCAGCAGTAACTGGTAAAACCTGGATAAAGATAGAAAATTTCCCATTAACCTCTCCCCAACTGGTTATTTAGGGAAAAACGTTTAATTTTCAGACAAATTTTTTATTTATTTTTTAATATAGTAACTAAGAAACTGATGCACATTAAAGTACCTGAGCAGTAGCTAACACCTCTACCAGATGTATGAGTTGGCAATTGGAGTGAAGAGAGCAAAACATATCCAAGCACAATAGAGATATACAAAACATGTAGGCCAAAAGAAAGGTGATAAGATAATTCTCTCTTTAATATGGTAAAAAGACATGAGTCAAGAGAAGAAACATGGATTTTTGAGCTAGTTAACTTGATGCTGGACAATCTCTTAACAGATGAAGAGAAAATTGAAGGCCACTGAAATGTTATATTACAGGATGCTGAGAATACTGTGGACCAAGTGTGTAAACAACAAAGAAGTCTTAGCAAAAATGGAAAAAAAATGACACTTATGCTCAGAATCAGAAGGAGAAAGCTGAAATTTATTGGACACAATGAAGAAAGAGGGCTTAGAGAATTTGACACTCACAGGACATACTGAAGACAAAAGGAACAAAGGAAAATGGTGGGCAGTTAGCTGATGAGCTTATGCGAAAGGATGGCTGAACAGAAGAGGCTTGGCAAAGGGACAATTTTGCTAAGATTTACAAGGGATAGGACGTTGTGGAGAGCTGTTATAATCCACAACCTGAAGAGACAACATATAGAAGAAGAACTTCTTTGTTAAAAAGAAAACAGTCATTACAGATCTCTGTACTTTCTTTTCTGAGAAAGTTGGTTTCTCCTTTTCTCATTGCTAAAGCCAATTCCTATATCATCATATGGAACTCTCATACATGCTGATTGCTCCTCTAAGTCTGTTTTTTCATTGGCCCTGCGATATTTAAGATGTGTTTCCAATGTTTCTTATTTAGCTGAATTACTTCCTTTTCTCCTCTGGTACTAAGAATCCTAATTAGTGAACTCCAAAAAAAAGTCATGCACTATAGCAACCTGACCCTAGCCAGTATAATGATGTCAATACTTACTTTATTTCCGGTTAGTTGGGTGATCTCTTCTGCTGTCTTTTCAAGGACATCCAACTTTCTATTTAAAAAAAAAAAAAAAAAAAAATGTAGAAAATTGTGGGGTCAGTCTTTAAAACTAATGACACCATACAACAGAACATTCTTTAGTTCTGCAAAAAAAAAAATATATATATTGAAACATTTTTAATAAAGATGTTAAATATATCAAACATATATTAAATAATCACAAAAAGAAACAAATTATATAATTCTGCTTGTACCTTCATTAGTTAGTAAGTTAGTATTTGCATTATGCTCTGCTGTTTACATCCAGTGGTAGACTGGGTTTAAAAATATTGGTTGTCAGGAGATAAAGGGGGGACCACCCACAACTATGATGCGATCAAATAATTTTCATAAGGAATAAGTAAAATTTTCAAAAATGCATATGGAAAAAAAGGACTATGATTAAAAATTTGTGGGAAAAAAAGTGTATTTCTTAGTAATTATAGTGTATATGTACTGTACATATTACTGGCAGTAGATATCAAATGTAAATACAGAATGTTATAATTGAATTTTTTAATTATTTATCTTTTTAAGTAATTGGTTGATATTTTTAAATAGTTTATTGCACAATTAACCCATTAACCAATAGTTCAAAAGCACAATAAAGAATTGCATACAGTCCACTATATTAAGAGCAATCATTTGTGTTCACTAGATTATTTTGCAAATCTGCCTATAATTTATTCTGTATTCAATTCATCTAATAATTCCTTTTCAATGGATTGCAACATGTGTGATTCTTAACCTTGTCTTTATGATCTATAACTTTAATAAAGACCTCTCAAAGTGAACTTCAGTAACTGATAGTGTGCAGATTACTTTATAATGTTGTTATTCCTTTTATTACTAAAAATGTTGTCTGTGTTTCTTTATTGTATTTGTTGTGTCGTGTATATTGCTAAGTAAGCATTCGACCTTTGTTCTAGTTGGTGTCCATTTATCATATGAGCTACCTGCTCATATGCAAATTATACTAATTTGCATCTCACTACATCTCCCTATAATGGAGGGGCCTTATGTCACAGAACTTCTTTGTACTTCTTCTTGTGCCCTCCTGAACATCTTCCTTTATCTCTCTCCTTTTCCCTTGGAGATCTAGATCTATCACGTCTTTTCCTATAATCGAACTGTTCCTCTTGCATACTGTGGTCTTTCTCTTCTAACTTGTCCCATTCTACTTCTTCCAACTCATCCCTCTCTACTTCTTCCTCCGCAGTTTCATTTTGCATTAACTCTTCTGTTACGTAAATAATGGGCATCTCTGAAGGCATTTCCTCATCCGATTCTTCTCCTTGGGATCTATTTGGTCAGCATGAGCTAGAACACTGTTCCCATTTTCTTTATTTAATATTGCAGTATTATGTCCTTTCTGCATAATAAATTCGGCTGACTCGGGTTGCATATTCCTATTTCTTTTGTACCACATCGTTTGATTTGTGGCATATGACATAGTCAAAGGGACTTAATTGTCTGCCCATTAAGGCAGATGGACTTTCTTGACCTGCCTGCATGTGGAATTGTTTTGTAACTTAATAGTAGTCTTGGTAGAAAAGCATCGATTTCCTCCTTCTGCTGCAAGCATGCTTTTATGCCCTTCTTTACCGTCTGGACCATCCTTTCCGCTGTCCCATTACTTTGAGGGTGGTAGGGAGGGGTCTTGTAAGGTCTGCATCCTATTTTTTTTAGCCATTCATGCAAATCAGTATCCACAAATTCTGGTGTGTTATCAGTCACCAATGTTCTCGGTGTCCCATTCCTCGAAAATATTACTCTTAATATTTGTTTTACAGTGCTACTTTTTTTTTTATCAGGTACTCTCACCACTTCAGGCCAACCTGAATATGCGTCTACTAATATTAATAATAGTCCTATCCCATTGACATAGGCATGGTCCATGTGTACTCTGCTCCATGGTTCTACTTCTCGGGGCCATACATGTATTTTCTTTTCGCTTAAAATTCCTGAGTTCTGTGCATTTTTTTGCATCTTCTTACATAGTCTTCTACGTCTCTTGAGCACCCCGCCACCACGCCCAATTTTAATCTTCTTTGCGTAGCTGCCACTCCATAATGTACGTCATCGTGTACACTTTTTATAAACCTGTCTCCTCTGTGTTTCTGGGGAACTACCAAGTCTCCATTACATATTATCCCGTTTTCTATAGTCATTCTATGTCTAATTTCTTTGAATGGTCTTTCAGCCATTGAACAATTTCCCCAGCGATTCTGTTTTATCCTCAACATTATTCTATTTAACACTGGGTCATTTGTAGTTTCAGTAGCCATTTTATCTTCAAAGTAACCCATAATTGCTATAATCGAGCCATCAAACTGACGTAATTGTACGTTGGTGTTTTTTAAAAACGGTTTTCCCATTTTTTCCCACAAATTTCTGGGTAATATCGTGACCTCACTACCTGTGTCGATTTGCATTTCGACAATACAGTCGTTGATTTTCACTTTTATTTTTGTATCTCCGTTCTTAGATCCAGTATTTTGTATATTATCCTTTTTTACATTAAAAATCTGTCTATTTTCATCCTCTACTCTTTCCACATTTTTCGTTTTACATACTTCTTTGAAGTGATTTTTTTTTTAAACACTTTGAACATGTCTTTCCAAAGGCTGGGCATTTTTCTTTTTTCATTTCATGAATTTTTCCACAGTACGCACAATTTTTTCTTTTTGTTTGTACCGTATATGTTTCAGCCATTATTTCTTTGTAGGATTTATTTTTATTTTGGTTGTAGGTATGTATTAATTCCTGCTGTTGTATAAATTCTATACACATATTCAAAGGCATGTTTGTAAGTTGTAACTGTTCCATTAACTTATATTTATGTGCTGAATTATGCATACCTTCAATTAATCTTAGTTGGATTAATTCTTCTTCCGTTGTCTGCTCTCCTGTTCCTAGTTTTTCGAATTCACAGTATTTACTCGCACTTCTTAACTGGTGTAAATATTTTACTATCGGTTCATCCACTTCCTGCTTCATTGCCATAAACTTGGTCCTTTCTGCAATCACCAGTCTTTTCTTTGGCCTTATGTTTCCCTTAATAACCTGACTTATTTCTTCGAAAGTCATTTCTTCTAGTTCTCGAGGGTAAACCATTGTAGCAACCTTCATAATCGCTTCACAAACAGCTGTAGCCATGAACAAGTCGATGATTTCATTTTCCCCTCCTCTGCTTTTGTTGTCTTTCAACTTTTTACATCTTGCATTAGCAGCAAAGCAACGAATCCACGTATCTACGTACTCTGGGTCTTCAAGGACCAAAGAGTATCCTATCGGCGATGCCATTGTCGTGTCGTGTATATTGCTAAGTAAGCATTCGACTTCTGTTCTAGTTGGTGTCCATTTATCATATGAGCTACCTGCTCATATGCAAATTATACTAATTTGTATCTCACTACAGTATTTTTATTTGATAGCGGGGGCTCAATTGCCATCAGGCAAGTTGACACCCTGGCCAGTGTGTCATTGATTATCTCATTCTCTGGCAAGAACTACAAAATGCATTCAGATAAATTAATGTAGAGGTACAAGAAAGATTTTGTTATAATTTAGATCTTCTCTTTTCCATTTCATTTGTTAGCCTCTTGATGCCATGTCATATGGATATTTCCAGACCTGTTAATTGAAAGTAAATGTTAGCTACAAAAGTGGAGGAAGCAGAAATAACATATTCATGTGTACATACTTTTCTTCAGACTATTTTTTGACTTACATTAAGTCTAATGACTCATCTCTATTTTATATTTTTTTCTAGTACTTAAGAAAAAATTGTAGTGAGATTTATAGTTTGGTTTGGTTTAAAGCATATCAACCTTAATGGGTTATTTAATGCCAACAAAATTTTTATTGCTGGTAATATTTTTTCTTCCAAAAATGTATTGCTAGTAATATTTTTTTTCTTCAAAAATCTATTTCTGGGAATATTTTTTTCTTCAAAAATCTATTGCTGGTAATATTTTTTTCAAAAAATGAATAGCTGTTTCTATTACTGGTAATATATTTTTTAAAATGTACTACTGATAATAATTTTTCCTTCAAAAATTTATTGCTGGTAATAATTTTATTTTTACAAAGTATTTCTGGTATTAAAATCTAATTTTACACTTTCATAGTATTTTGACTCCAGTTTGGGGGTTAACTAGTTGCCCATAGCTGGTACCCTAACAGGTGCTACCACCCTTGGTGAGAGTGAACCTGGGAACACCAGCAATTAATAGGTGGTTCTATGCTCCTCAAAACCTCCTGATCAGAGACCTTGCTGTTGGACATAGTTTATCGTCTTATCCAGGATGTGGATGTAATTTATCATCATACCCAGGATGGGTGGGATTTATAGCAACTTAAATCATAAGATTAGTTGAGATACAATAAAATTCCTCAACAACATGACCCACTAAACATTATATTCTCAGAACAATATGAACTGATAAAATCTTTAAAAAAGTAACCATATTTTTTTCTTAATAAAATATGGAAAACTGAGAAGTATATTTTTTTCAGAGTTATTTTCATCTTGTATGCTTTAAAAGTTATTTGATATTTGCTTAAATCTATTATTTAAAACTTAAGTCTGGAATATAAGGTCAGGCTGGAATAATAGGGTTGAGTGGAAAATTAATTCAAAATTCATTTATTTTAGGAACAATAAAATGAAGGAGAAGACAATGGAATAAATGAACAGGTTAGAAAAAGTGGAAAATAAATGTGGGTCTATAATAACAGTGGGTAGGCTGGAAATTTTTTTTTTTAAATAACCAGGAAAATATCAAAAAAAAAAATAACTCGATGAAAAATTTAGTTAATAACTTACAAAAGAATGCATAATTAATTACACTAGTGTTTGGTGATGAAAGTGGAATTGGCAAACCAAGTTCAAATTCCAGTAGAGTTTGTTGTGTTCACTTTTCCATTAATGACCTTAGGAAAGGAATGAATGCATCTCTTCTTCCTCAGTTGACTGAGCTCTACAGCCCCATATAACAGCTAATTTAGGAGGATGAATATGTTGAATTCAAAACAGTGAAAAAGGCAATGGGAACCCACTCAACTATCATACTTAAGGCGGCTTGGAAATTCACAGATAATAAAAATAGAATCTGTGGATAGCCACGATCGTCTACTTTTTGAAAGAACATGGCATTAGAAAAAAAAAATGTTATCAGATACACCAGCTTGGAAGCATTGGTAAATGTATGTTTTTTTGAGTTAATTTCATCTCTTAAATGGAAATAAAATATTTGGTTTGACAGGGAGAATCCTTACCTACTTGATATAACCACTTGAGCACCAAGTTGGGACAGCATAGTTGCCATTGCTTTTCCAAGACCAGTGCCACCACCAGTTATGAAGGCAGTCTTTCCCTTGAATGAATCTTTTGGAAGCATGGGTGTCGTCAATGCAGGAAAAAATTTGGCCTGGGGACGGTCATCTGATAAATAACTGGATGATGTATGGAAAGAATTTCTGGGCAAAAACTGAGAGAAAAAAGAATAAAGAGAATAAATTGAAACACAAACCTGTCAACATCTGTCTATATTTCCAAGATGAAGTATTGTAATTATTTACATTATTCAGACTGTTGTCCTCATCTTTATTTACTACACATGGCCCAGTGGATAAAAGCATTGGTTGGATCAAGTGACTTGACCCAAAGATGAGTTTAATATCTGGCTACTGCAGCAGTGAACAAAAACTTGGAGAGTTGAGTTAAAGGGAGATAACTGAGATATCTGGAAGAGGCATGGCATGTGGAACTAGAACAATTTACCCTGGTGGATGAAATAAAGGGTTCAGTTCGAAATTCCAATCACCTGAAGAAGGCTGGACCATATAACGGCTGAAATGTTGTGAATATGGCAATAAAGATGAAGACAACAGTCCAAATAATGTAAATAAATCTGTCAACATTAATTTTATTTAATTCTTTGATCAACTTGGTTCCTTATCCGTTTTGTATTACGATTTTTTTTTTTTTTAATCATTTCAATGAAAGCAAGGCAAGATGCAAGAGGTTATGGCGTGTGTGTGAGAATATGAGAAAAAAAAAAACACTAGTAAAGAGAGAGAATAATAAAACAGGAATTAAGAAAACAGAAGATAACAATTGACATTGCATTAAAATTTTTGAAGATCAAAGTAGACTCAGGAGCAAAAAACTGAAAAAGAGTTCTACAAGCGAGAAGTGCAAGAGAAGAAACTGCTAGCATAGAACTTATGGTTACATCTTACCGTTTCAAGAGTAAAATGATGAAACCGAGTTACCAATCTAATATTGTGATTAAATCCATAAAGTCTAGGTACCATAGAGGAAAGTAATATTTACTTTGAATAATACAAAAATGCAGCACAAGACCAATAAGGGAAGTCTGGTCTTCAGTCTGTCTTATCTTAAAACTTAGCTAGCCACAATTATTCACCCAAACATATCACAGCATTCCTTACACCAAAAGCAACACATTCTTACTTGCCATTTTTACTACAGCCACTATAATACCTCAATTACAGTTTGTCTATGCAGAGTGGGGGAATAAAAATAACATTTAAATAATGAAATCCTAATACTATAGAGGAAAGTTCATCAGAACAATTACCATGAAAATATTTATAAAGGCACAGGGAAGTTACATTAGGACTAAGGAAAAGTGTTGTAATGGAATGTCCCACACTCCCTATTGCCTATGTGGACTGTCTATATCAGTAGTTATATATATAGTGAGCACAGGATATACCTGGGGGCTTGCTTCTGGAATTAGTTAGAGATTCGTCTCCAGCTGTGCTGGTTGGACTCTCTGCCTTTGGGCAGACAGGAACCCAGACGAGGCTATGCTGAAGGGCAGAGTTTCATCTGGGGGTGGTTGACAGCTACCTGACTCATGTATACGGGGAATTTTTGCCACGCATTAAAAAATGGTCTTGTGCCACATCCTGCCTCATGGGGAGGTAAGGTAAATACCTTTGCTTCAGGAATTACTAGCCTGCTAACTGATTCCCTGTCTTTCAGTAATGTATTCTCTTTTACAATAAACCTCTCTTTCTTTCATCTACGTGCGTGTTGCTGTTCCTTTACTTGAGTACCAATTTTGTCTGTTTGTAACCTCTTTAAGGATACAACAGAAAGTGACTGAATCCAAGAAGCCAGGTCAGAACCAATAACATTGTAGATTCTTCTTTGCATTTTATCAAGAATCTTTAAATATGTAGCAGAAGCACCAGACCAGATCAGACCAGATGTGGCAGCAATATTCAAAGCATGGATGACTGTACTAGTAGACTTATAAATATGTAGGAATGATTTTGGTGAGAAAAATTGTCTCACATGACACAGTGAACCAATTTTCCTAGCAGCAAACTTATATAATCTTTATAGATAAAATATGCTTGCTTCTTACAATGAGCAATGATTTTTAGTAACCGCAGAGTGTGATGTTTGCAAATAATGAACACAATCTTAAAGAAAATGAAAAAAAAGAAATATTAATTTTTGATTAGTTTTCCTTTCTTCTTAATTCCTGTTGCTTTTTGTCACAACTAACCAGATGGTCATTCTGTAGTCATTAGTTATTAATGTGGCTCCAAAATAACAAATAAGCTTGTGATGATACACAGGCTCTTGTATCAATTATCTCATAAAGCCAATGGCTATTCTAATAACAAATAGAGCTATGAAAAATATTCAATTAACAGAAGATCAAGTCAACATATAAAGTTATTCCTTATTTCTCTGTACCCCAGATTACATGACCCATAATGTTATTGTTTTGTTTATATGCACTAGAAGTATTAGTAGTAATGTTATCTCAGATTTTTATTAGATGAAGCAATGTCATCCATTATTAAGTTTTAATTGGTATTACTTTAATCTTAATTTCAGTTGCTTTCTATTGCAACTATACAAGTATTCCTTTTATAGTGATTAGTAATCAATGTGGACCAGAAATAAGGAATGAGTTTTAAGAAAGACTCAAAATTCCAATCCTTTTGGCCTGGAAAATCTGTCTTAAACCTAATAGCTGTTCTAACCATGTAAGTTTATAGACATAGATTTAGTCTTCTGTCAACTGTTATGCTTCCATGAGGCTGTAGAATAATAAACAGCAGATAGAGAAACAATGAAAAAAAACCCTCTCTGATTCTGACTGTGTAAATGATTGTATTCCAGCCACAGCTAATAATGAAAAGGTTAATTGAATTTCAGGTTCAGAATGCCATATCATTTGACATTATTGGTCATGTCTTTCCAATGTTTTCTGTCAGCTGAATGTTTTTTTTTGTTTTTTTTATTATGTCTTCTTTCATCAAAGTTCACTTTCATTGTATGAGCTTCTTATGGAATCTTATTCAATTTTTACAGTTTCTGTGTTCAGATATGGCATTCTGAAACTGAGGGTGTGTTAAAAAAAATCATGAAAGCATTTAAAAATGGCCCATCTTAATAAAATTAAAAATGGTAGCCATATATTTCATTTTTTAAACAGTGTATTTATTCATGTGCTGTGTGAGATTGATTTGTTTTTAAGGTTTATCAACTCTTTATCGGTTATTTGAACACAAAACATATTTTTGATTGTTAGAGTAATTTTTGCAAGTGAATATTGCATTGGCTCGTTGACCACTGTGAATACCGAAGTTCATTGGGTACAACTGTGATGAGCTTGATAAATGAGAATTGAGATTTTACTTAGTTTTTGAACGTTGTTAATTGAATTTTTTTATGCAAAAACATGCACATCAGCCAGCCACTGTGAGCTTTTCCAAGGTTATTTGTGCATAAGTGAATGTATCAAATCTGACTGGAATTTGAACACAGCTCTCAGATTTCTTATTCTGAGCTACTATCCATTATACCACCTGCACATCCACACATGCTGTGTGAGAAATTATTTATTAGAAACAAAAGCCAAATTTGAGAGAATGGATGTTGTTGCATATGAATTTTATGATTGTAATATTGTGGCTATTTTGTTTACTTGTACAAAGAAGTAATCACTCCCCAATGTATATATCCAATAGACACATTAGAATTGTAATAAAATCTAAACATATGAAAGTGTATTTATACATTTGTTTGTCCTAGAGAATTTACAACAAAAATATTAAACACTTTTATTGTTTATTTACACTATTATATTGTTTATTGAAATGGTTGGAAATTGCCAACTGATTCAAACTTTATAAAATGGTAAATAATGATTTCCATATAATTGTTTCACATATTTTAATAATTTAGTAAATGTGTATAAATTTATGAATGAAAAATTGTTTTCATATTTATTTCTTTATAAAGTGGTAATTAGCTGATGTTTTGCTAACCATTTCAATAAATAAAATTGTTTATTATTTCTGTTGACAATTCTCAAGAATAAAGAAAATATATAAATTCACTTTCATATGTTTAGGCTTTATTACAATTCTAATCATTGCTTTTAAAACAATAAACATTGTCGAGGAGTGAAGGTAGTTAAGATAATAATGGTGTTTATGGAAAAACTGTCCTTTTGCCACTCCATTTTTTTTTTTTTGCAAGCACAAAGGTCAAGATTACCTCTTCATCTTTCTTTCTGCCAAAGCAGTCAAAGATATCAATCTATTACAGGGTTTAGAGCAGCTTGGGTAGGATTACCCAACTGTGTCAGCTAGGGGGCTTGTCTTAACACTTACTAGGTGGCATTGTATAAAAGAAAAGCCTCAAATCTTTTCTCTTCCTTTGTCATGTTTTCTTGTGGCTGATTCAAGATTTGTCTGAAGAAAATCAATTCACTTAGAGAGACTAGATCTGTGAACAGATTATTCTTCAAAAAGCTTAACTCAAGCATTAAAAATGATAAAAAATATTTTATTATTTTTATTTCTTTAATAATTACAGGGACGAGTAAGGGCATCCTAGTAAGTAACTGTTTTGTAAGTTCAGTTTTTAAACTAAAGCCTTAACCAATCAGTTTAGTAGTTGATGTTGCTCATTCATGCAGATCAATTTATGGATTGAAATGGAGAATGAGCAGATAAAGGAAGTTGTTAGATAAAAATAGCTGATGAAAACCTGTTAAAAAAAAAAAAAAAATGTAAAGATCAATTATGATTTATGATAAAACATTGGGTTGGTTAGTGTACCAACATATCAACTTCTAGTTTTGTTGGTCATTTGAATGACAAATATAAGTTTTTTTTTTTTATCTCAATGAATTAGGCTGATCTAGGTCCAGTTTATACCCGCGGTCCGGTTCACATTCCTCCTGAACTCTGAAAATTTTATTCACTAATTATTTGATTTTATTTTTGTTATATCTTGTTTCCTGTTTATAAGGATTAGGTTTCCGGTTCTTTCTTGCAAAAAGTCTGCTTTAGCTCTGTACTCCTCTAACGCTTGTCTTTTTTACGCTAAATCTTACGCAAATCCACACAGTAACTCTCTACTTTGAGTGGCTCTTGGGTCTTGTATTGGGTGAACATTAGTATTAAAAAAAAAAAAGAAAAGAAAAGTATCCACCCCAAAGGTAATTCCTTTCCGTGAGGTTCTTATTCTCCAAGGGATGCAATCGGTGTATTTGAAGAAAAAATATTTTCTATATTGTGTGTCGGTGTTGGGTGATGTTAAAAACCCAAATTTAAATGGAAAAATTAAATTCTCAAATTCAAGTTTCCCCCGTGTACGATCTTACATTATTAATATATTTAAATTATAAATAAATATATCAACACACAAGAAGACTAAAACTGCCGATTTTGTTCCCGGCTTCTTCATAGGAAACTAACTACTTAAATAAGCAGACGAGCTTAAAATTATTGGATAACAACTAAAATACAATATTCACAGATAAATCTTTATTTTAATAATATAAAAAATTACATGCATATTGTTCCATATGCTAAGTAGTAACGAACGATGAACAAAAAAATAAAATGGATTTATTTACTTACATAAATAATGTCAGTCTCATCTCATTCTAACAAGCAGACAACAAAAACACATTTCTTTTTTTTTTTCAACTTTTTCTTTACAATAAACAAATATTGTTATAAAATCTTTTAACAGTCAATTCAATTTCTTCAGATTCTTTAATGTTCTTTCTTCAAATACATTTCTTTTTCTTCCTTTGAAACTCTTTTTCACTTCCTCAGGAGCTGAAAGTGTAAATTATAAAACACAAAAAAAGCCTAACCCAGTCTAAGATCTTATTTTAAAATCTTATTCCATGAAGAATATCCTTTAAAATATTTTAAATCTTATTTTAAAGTAAAGAATGTGAATAGGGGCAGAATTTCCCGCATCCAACGACTCTGCCAAACAAACAAAAAGAAACGTTGATTCTCCGAGTCAACAAACAAATAATGCAATAATTCCCCTTCTAGGAAATTAAATTACTTCTTTTAGCTTCGGAATTCTACCGAAGCTAACAAAATCTTTTCTTCAAAGTTTTTTCAAATATAAACAAATCTCAGCTACGGAATTCTACCGAAGCTAATAAAATTTTCTCACAAAGTCCTTCGATGTGAAAACTTACCCTCCTCTCTTCCCATCCATAAATATAAAACCAATAATATAGCTATTAAATTTTTAAAAGCTAAATCAATATTAACTCTATAAAAAGTAAATAATTCGATATTGTAAGTTGAATTAAAGGTAACACTTTATTTTACGTGGTAAACTTAATTAGTTAACCACGGAGCCAGAATACAAAAACGTCTTAAACGACCGAGGATAAATATCTGACTGAGGATAAAATCCTCTGATAAAAAGGAGTCGTCTGCAGCTTCCAATTCCATGAAAAAGATCGGCAACAAAAATTATAGTCTGTTTTGCCATCAGACGCGTATTATACAAAATTTTACCACTGAAGTTATTGAAAAGATGTCTTCTCACTATTCTAAATTTCTGTAAATAAAAATTTTCCAACTTTTCACAGCTCGGCCGACAAGGCAACGATAAACGTAGCACCTGTGGTTTTTAAAATAACTATCGACAGAACCACATCAAATATATAAACATTGTTTGTACGTTCAAATTCTAAGATATTGTAGGCAGTTGTTTCTTTTATTCGAAACACCAAAGCAAAGTGCAAATACTGAAATTAAAAACTGAATAAAAATAGCATAAAAATAATGCGAAACTAAAAACAACGTTTCGCTTGGCTTTTAAGTTTTACAGTTACACCTTTTGACTTACTGATGTAAGACAGTAAGAATAAACTAAAAAATTATATAAATTAATTAGTTGCTAGACAAAGAAGTACTTACATATCTTATGTCATTCAATAACATTTTCTTCTCACAGCCAATCCGTAAAAGACGATTTAATAAAGCCATTATATTTTAATTTTTTTGTAAGAAACTGTTAACAAAATATAAATCGGATGGAATGTAAACAACTTCACTCAGCTTCGTGACTGATTATTTCCACTGACCTTTGGTTTGAAAAAAGTACTTTATCTTAATCTGTCCTCATAGTCATGATAAAATCGAATCTATATTTCTCCCAAATGTAAAAGTAACTTTTTAAAATTTACACCGCTTTTAAAGGAAAGTTACTCTAAAATAATATACAAGAGTTATTTCCCTTAATAAGCTAAAACATTAAACCCATCAACAGATTTCAATTAATTTTATGATCTGAAAAGAAAAAGAAAAGAAAGTATTTCTTAATTTTCAGATATTTTTTTTAATTCCACAGATATCTTTATCTTATTATCTGGGAAATGCCATGACTTATTGAGAAAGATAATGGACTAGTTTGTAGAGTGAAAGACTGAAATAAACAGCAAAACAGTCAAACACCAAATAATAAAAAATGGTTTCTGGGTCGGAGAATTCGTGCATCCTTCCGGTGAATAAATTATTGCTTTGAAAATAAATATTTCATTTTTTTCAAATAACAGGTCACTATACCGCCGACAAATAAAAGCATGTTTCGTGATCTCTTTGAAGGGTATATAAGCAAAGTTTCTAGACCAGACAAGCCAGTAATGAGACGGAACGGCAACATACGGCAATAATTCACGACACGTACGGCTTAAAATTCTCATACACCCGTCTTCCTCAACAAGCTACGTGACACTTACACCTTTTCCCTTCCCTCTTGTTTTTCACATATACACGAGAAGAAATCACATTTCTTTTCATCTTAACAAACAACTACAAACAACAACTGTAAGAACTTTAACATTCATACACGGTACGAAAAATTTAGTTGTAAGAACACGCAAATAAAAATATTTTATATTTAAACACCTTTTTCTCCTTTTTCTTTGTTGTGGGTTGATTCAAATCCGCAACAAGATTCACGTTGCTTTTACCATAATTTTTTTAATTCAAAGTGGTCTTTCTCCGACACTGTCTGCCACCCAAGGCTAAAAAGCCGTATCTAGCCTACTATTTAAGTCATAGCTAGGGGCAGAGAAAAACAAACTTTTAAAAGGGTATTAATGCAAAAATGAAGGTATCAGAATTTGAAATTTGTTCATTGCTTCCACTTTCTGCACCCATAATCGGTTTGCTACTCATACATCACAGAAGCCGTTACAGTGACGTAAGCTGGGAATTAGCGATGGTACTATCGAACATTTTTTTCTGAATGTAGAATGGATTTTTGTTGTTACCCTTTGTTGGCTGTTGCTGATTAGGATAAAGACTTTCAAAATTGTTACAGGAATCACCACCTCCGTTGCAAGGTGTGAACTTTTTTCAGTAAATATTTAATGGCTCCTTTAATGTTCCGCAAACAATATTGGCGGATCAATGTGTGTCCTGGCAAAAATAAGTCACAAAACATGGATTTTAAACAAAAAATTAATGCGTGTATTAACAAAAAGAAATTACATTATTAATGTGTACATAGTTGAAAACAAAGGAAAAGACATTAAAAATTTAGCTATTAAGAATGTGCTTGTCTCTGTGTGCGATACTCGTGTGTACATGTGCGTGTTTGCGGGAGTTCAGTCATCAGTTGACCGGATAGACGAGCGTGCCGTAGCGGGGATGTTCTTAACTGCGACTGCTAAATCTTGGAGCAAGAGGGAGAAAGAAGTAGAGGAAGGAAATTAACTAGTCCTTATGAATGCTGGTGTTAATCTCAAGAAGATGATAAGTAGGTGGTACTTTCAAGAGATTTAAGAAAACTCTTTTTATTTTATCTATTAAACTTTGTCTATTACTACAGACAGACTCACTTTCTTTTTCTCTTTTTTGCTTTCCCATCCATTAGACATGCAGTAGACACCACACGTTGTCCAGTCTCAACGGGCAAGTCGCCTTCTTCCAAGTAACGTGGGGTACGTCTACACGCGCGTACGCGCGTGCCCATCACACACACACACACACACACACACACACACACACACACACACACACACACACACACACACACACAGTATACTATAATCTATTTTTTTAATAACCTTTGTGTATTTGTACACCAAATTAACAACTATATTTTCCTCTCTTTTTCCAAATCATGTTGTTCTGACTAAATGTATATGGAAAAACACACGTATGTGTTGAATCAATTTTATTTGGAAGTTTCTCAAACGCATCCCTACAATCCTTAACAGTAACACCATTTAATACATGAAGTAAACTCCTGTCTGCTACAACCTACTCACCAGTGAACTTTTGAACTCAGTTTCACAGAAATATTTGAACTTTGAACTTATACCGCCAAGCTTACACGGGGTGCGGCAGAAATACCTCCCACATAATGGTAAGGCATTAGCTAGATGAAGGCACCATTACGTGGGAGGTATTTATGAGTAGTATATGTAGGAGGTATTTCTGCCGCACTCTGTATAATCGAACAATACAATATTTTATGCAATTTTACATTTTCTCTTCTCTGTTTCTAAAAAGAAAAAAACTTTTGGTAAAGTTTAACATTCGCGCCCTCACCCACTAAAAAACGGTGTATCAAAAGGACGGTTTATCTCTTGACACCGCTGTTACTGTATACTCCCTTCACAATATTTATTGTTTTAAAAAAAAGAAATGCATAAATCCAGTTTCATATATTTGGGTTTTATTCAAATTCTAAAATAGCTTTTTAAGGCAATAAAAATTGCTGAGGGAGTATACTGTAATACCGGTGTCAAGAGGAAAAAACATTCTTTTGATACACCATTTTTTGTGGGTACATTTGTTAGACATTGTCACTTTCTTTTATTTTTCTCCACTCAATCCATAAAATACGTTTTTTACTTTTATACGTAAGAGAATCTTAGCAAGAAATTCCAATGCTTTGTCTCTTACTTCCATAATAAATTTGTTTATTATTTTGGAAGTTGATGATCTGAATTCTTTTTGAAAATCATAACCCCGTAACATTTTTACGTTATCTTTCACTCACAGAAAAATGAAAAAGGAATCAATTAGCTCAGTCTTCTTGCAACTCTACTGACCTTTCGCAATAAGATGCTCCGAAGAGAAGAGAGAAGCTAAAGTGTGTGGCAAGAAAGAACATCGTTATTTTGATTCCAACTATTATGAAATAGATGACGCAGGGAGGTAATCAATAACAGCGAATGTAATTTGCACGAAAATTGTCTTCGCCGAAAGCGTTAAACCAAATTTTCACTTTGCAGAATGGTTCACTTCACCGAAAAATTAAGTTAAAAAAATTAAAGGGAGATAACTTGTATATACAGGGTCGGCAGAAATACATCCCACATATACCCGTCTTTTCATTATTTGGGAGGCATTTCTGAGATGTGTGGGAGGTATTTCTGCCGCGGTCTGTGTGAATAGTAATTTTTTTATTTATATATTTCTTAAAAATCACACTCGTTAATTCGATTGTGATTTATATTTATTCACAAACACGAATCACTTTTTTCTCCATAAATTCATTATTGAAATTTTCATTCGCGTAATAATGTTGCTTACTATATTGGTTTTATTCTAGGAATGTTTAAAAACGAGTAAAAAATAACGAAAAACAAAAACATATAAATATTTTTCCTATTCAAAATACATGCGTAAATAAATTAAATATTAAAAAAATTGTATTAATTCATATTAGTTTAGTTATTTATTTAATACTAGCTTAAAAGCCACACTCCAGCTTAATCGAGGCTTAAATTCACGCGGTCGGGGTACCAAAAAGGAATGCTCATCAGAACAATTGCAATGAAAATATTTATAAAAAATGCACAGTGAATCTACGTCACGGCAATGCGAAAGTGACTGATTATTGATTGACTTGCCTTTTTACGGCTTGTCAATCCTTTGAGGATTATTCAAAACCGAAACATATTTCGTTTTGTGGGTTAATATTGTATTAACATTCTTTTTTAGAATAACTGATTTTTCCTTATACAAGTACTAATAAACCCTGTATCTGGCGTACGATGCCACGAAGGGGAAAGCGTCTGAATTTATGAAGGGGCTCTTGGAGAGTGAACCCCACTTGTCTTGGGAAAGATTAAAGGGACTATTGACCAAGGAATTCGCCGACGAGGGCACGGCTATAGAGACCATGAGGGCCCTCCTAAAGCTGACACAGCTGCGGGACGAAACCCCTGGAGAATTGGGGGCCCGAGCGGGGAAGCTGTCATCATTGGCCTTCCCGGAAGTGGTTAGAGACAATGCGGTCATGCAGGCTCAACTAGCAAACCTGTATGTAGAGGCGCTAAGTGACGAGCGTGTTCGTCATGACGTGCTGAAAGAGGGACCGCTGAGACTGTCGGCAGCGATAGAGCTGGCCAAGGAAAGCCAGGGCGTATGGGAAAAGGTGAAAAGGTGTGGAAGGAAACATACTAAGTCAAGAGGCCGGAAGAAGGTGGGTAGGCGGAAGACCCCCCGCGTGGAATCGGAAGGTCAAACTAGAAGTAGATCAGCCTGAGGTGTGGGAAGAAGACCCCAATAGAAAGGCATGGTCAACCAGGCATGGGTTTTATAAGCCCACGCCGGGTAGATACGGGCTGGTCTGCTGGACCTGTGGGCATGAGGACCACAGGGCGGCGGAATGTCCGACGAAGTGGGGTTTGCCCCCAGACTTCGAACAGGACAGGTGCACCAGGTGTGGAAAGAAAGGACACCTGGCCAAGTGGTGCGGGCTGAGAAAAGGTGCCCCACCGATATTAACAAAGAAGGCCGAGCCCAAGAGACAGGACCAGGGAAAAGCCAGCGGGCCACCCCGGAATTAAGAGGGAGGGTGGCCCTGTTAAAAAGAAGGGAAATAAAAGCTTGGACCAGTGGTCGAGCGAACCGCTTGGGTAGAGGACAGGTCCCCCCGGAAGTAAACGGGAGGTTAGCCCAGTTGGAGAAAAAAAGAG